AGGTACTCAATGAGCATTTAACTTACTGACCAAAAGTGTACCACAGTTGATTATATAAAACAAGATTTCCCTTCAGCTCTCTGGGTTTTTAATCATGACTTCCTGACCATGTGGCTGTTTCTCTTTGTCTGCCATGACACATGATCTGACTTCTGTGTTATAGTCTCCTTGTTTTTGAAAGTAACTAGCTCTGGTTGATGCTTTTACCTCAGAGACCTACTTTTCCAGTTGTATTCTCATTTGCCTCAGGCCGTTCATTATTTCCCTGACACTGAACATACATCAGTCACAGGTTAGATTTAGCCTGCATTACTACTCCCTTGATCTGCAGATCTCAAATTATAGTTTAGGACTCTGTTATTCAACTGATGTTTGGGACACAAACCTTAGTAGAGAGTATCTATTCCGGACTGCGAAGTGAGCTGTTAGCTTGGAGAATGTCAGCTCAACTCTCATTAGAAAGCAATAATTTTTAAAACACTATGCTTAGTCTTAAATCATTTATTCTTATATTTATTTATTCATACAACATTTATGTTAGGAATATATGCTGATTTTTAAAGAAAAAAAATGTGAATAAGATATGGCCCTTGTCAGAAGCTTACGTTCTAGTGAGAGGTGAGAGGCATAAAGGCAGTTAAGTGTTAGAAGACCTGTGATAGAATTATGTACCCCAAAAAGGGAATAGTGTTACTCTGTGTGGGAGCGCTGATAGAGTAAATAGTCTAAGATTGTGAAGAAGACTCAGTATTAGTAGTTGTAACAATGTAATTCACTATGTTAGTATATTAAAGGAGAGGAATCCGATGGGAGTAGATATAGGAAAACTGGGTAAAATTCAGCACCCATTCAGATATTCAATAGGAAAAGGAGGAAACTTAACTTGAAGGAAGGTATCCATCAGAAAATTATGGCAAACATTATGCATTAATGGTAATACAATAAAAGCAGTCCCATTAAATTTGAGAACATGATAAGGATAGCTCTTATCTCCATTGTTACTTGTTAATGCAGTAAGTAAAGAAATAGAAGTGAGATGTAAGATTGGAAAGGAGGTCAGCTGCTATTTGCTGCTGATATGATTTTTTTTTCCTATAAAACCCAAGAAAATGAGTAAATTTGGAAGGTGGTTAATCAGAAATGCAGTATACAAAAACTAGTTTTCCTATTATCCATTAGCAATGGTAAGTAGACAGTGTAATAGAAAACAAATCCATTTCACAAAGAAAAACCCAAGTAAGAAAAAAATGTTTTTTAATGTATAAGACCTTAGTGGGGAAATTTAAAAATTTTACTGATGCAATTTTCAATTTTTATCAAATTAATATTAACAAAAAACTAATACATCTCAATGAAGTTTTTCATAGAACCTTATAAATATCCCAAAATTCATGGAAAGAACAGTATGTATTATTAGCCGGGACAATTTTAAAAAACAAAAGCAAAACAGAGCAGCTTGTTCTAATAAAATTAAGATAATAATAAAACTATAATAATATAAAAAAGGTTTTAATGACATATGTATAGACAAATAGGTAAATAGAATACACTCCAAAAATAGATCGCACGATATGGGAATCTAGTATATCATAGAGATCAGTGGGAAATGATAAACTCTTTAGTAATTGGTGTTGGGATAATTGATTATCAGTGTGAAAATCCTACAAATTATATTCAAGAAGACCGCCAGGGCTTATTTTTAAACTTTGTTAGGGAGGTTCTGGCATAGCTTTTACTCAACTACTGGTTTGGTCCTACTTCTAAGGTATGACTCTTTTGAGGTCTCTACTAAATGCTCTGGGTGTTTATCAGAGTCTCTCTTCACTGTGGCTGGTGAGAACTTGGATTTCACTCTGCACTTGTGACACTCTTTGGGTGTTATTCAGCGGGGCGCTTTCCTGTACTTGCCCTCTGTTCAGCCTTGTGGAGTTTTAGGGTACTTATGCACAACTTAGTATTTAGCCAAAATCTTAAGAGCATATTTTGGGAGCTCTTTGTTAGTGTAGCTTTCTTGCCTCTGGTATTCTTTTCTGAAAATTTCAGTCATTTCAACTTCCTTGAACTCCAAGCTTTGTCTCCTAAAGTTCCATGCGATTTGGGCTACCGCCACCACCCAAACCTCATTCTGGAAAGTGCCTCACTGCTTCACTAGAGAGAGCGTGGCATTACCTGCGGTCCAAAGTCTGAAACCAATTATTTCATGTTTTGTACAGTTTCCTAGTTCTTTATGGCAAGAGGGCAAGTTTGGTACTAGCTGTTCCTTCCTATTGGATACTTTAGCTTAGTTTGGTTGAATTATTTTCTCATCTAGTGGTATGAGAGGTCTCAGTGTAAATGGTTGAAATGATCCAATGTTGGGGATTGACATTGTGAATATGGTCAAAGGACAGAAGAATCAATATGTTGGGAGTGCTGGGAAGAGATAGTTGAAATAAAGCAATAGTTCTCATCATATGGTTTCAGACTCCTTTCAGAAGGTGCATAGGGTCTTCCTCCTACATATCCTTGTGTGGTTGGATTCTCTTCATATACATGAACCAAAATAACACAAAAACAAACAATCGAATGCAGAAGCAAAGATGAGCATAAGCCCGTTTTTAAAAATTAAACCTGATATTAAAGGGACTTGTAAAAATAGTAAAACAATGCCACTCTCCTCACTAAATTTTGTTTAATTTAAATTTTTTTATTTTTTAAGATATTTAAAATGTACATATGTGATTTGATACATGTATACATTGGGAAAGGATTCCCACCACCTGGTTAGTTAATGTATCTATTACCTCACATTTTTATCTTTGTGTGTGTGTGTGTGTGTGTGTGTGAGAGAGAGAGAGAGAGAGAGTGCACATTTATGAGAAAATTCCACTCTTAGCAAATTTCAATTGTATAATACAGTGTTATCAACTATAGTTACCATTTTACATTAGATATTCAGATCATATTCATCTTATAATTGAGAGTCTACCCTTTTAGCAACCTCTTCTTATTTTCCCCACCCCCTCAGCCCCTGGCAACCACTTTTCTATTTGGTTATTACTAGTTAGACTTTTTTTTAGATTCCACATATAAGTGAGAACAGACAGTATTTTTCTGACTCTAGCTTATTTCATTTAGTATAATGCCATCAAGGTCCATCTATGTTGTTGCAAGTGTCAGGATTTCCCTTTTTTATGGCGGAATAATATTCCTCTGTTTGCGAGCGTGCGTGTGTGTATCTGATCTTTATCCTTTTATTTGTTGATGTACACTTAGGTTGTTACTTCTGTATCTTGGCTGTTGTAAATAATGCTGCAGTGAACATGGGAGTGTAGATAGGGCTTTGAGCTTCTGATTTCTTTTCCTTTGCCTTACACTCCAGAAGTGGGATTGCTGGATCATATGGTAGTTCTATTTTTAATTTTTTGAGGAACCTCCATAGTGATTGCACCAGTTCTCACCAATGGTGCTCAAGGATTCCCTCTTCTCCACATCCTCACTGACACTTGTTATTTGTTATCTTTTTGATAATAGTCATTCTGACAGGTATGAGGTGATACCTCACTGTAGCTTTGACTTGCGTTTTCTTGATGATTAGTGATGTTGAGCACTTTTTCATGTACCTATTAGCCATTTGTATGTCTCCTTTGGAAGAAATGTCTCTTTAGTTTCTGTTCCCATTTTAAAATTGCATTTTTTTTTCTTTTGCTATTGAGTTGTATGAGTTCTTTTTATATATTTTGGGCATTAACCCCTTATCAGATATATGATTTGCAAATATTTTCTTTCAGTCCATGGTTGCCTTTTCATTTTGTTGGTAATCCTTTGCTGTACAGAAGCTTTTAAGTCGAATGCAGTCACACTTCTTTATTTATTATTATTATTTTTAAAGATTTTATTGGTGAATTGGGGGAGGGGAACAGTGTTGGGGAATTGGGGAAGGGGACCAGCCAAGTTGTTGTTCTTCAGTCTCAGTTGTGGAGGGCGCCAGTCTCCATCTGGCTTCCTGTCGGGCAGCTTGTGGCCTCTCAGCTCAAGGTGCTGTGTTCAGTCTTAGTTGTGGGTGGGCATAGCCACCATCCCATGCGTGAGTTGAACCAACAGTCCTATTGTCAAGAGTGCACGCTCTATCCACTGAGCCACCCGGGCAGCAGCTCAGCTCAAGGTGCCAAGTTCAGTCTTAGTTGTGGGTGGGCATAGCCCACCATCCAACAGGCAATCTTGTTGTTACACCAGCTGAGCCATCCTGCCACCTGTTGGCAGCTCAGGAACAACTCAGTTCGGGAGCAGTGCACTGGCCCATGTGGGAATGGAACCGGCGGCCCTGTTGCTCAGTGCTCGCGCTCTTAAGTCAGCTGTTAACCAACTGAGCCACTTGGCCGGCCCCCAGTCACACTTTTTTATTTTTGCTTTTGTTGCCTTTGCTTTTGGTGTCATTAAATTTCTCATTCTTAACCATGACCTAACAGTTTTTCTTCAGTTTCTGCTACCTCAGAGTCACTGAACCCTTTGGTTTCATTAAATCTACAGAGATTACCCAAGATAAAAGTATTAACCTGTGTCGTCACTTCATTCTTTTTCTCTGGGATATTGGCTGTTCAAATATAGTCCTCATTATCTAGTGAGAAGACATAACATTTATTGGTTATAAGCCCATATTTTACGTTCTTGATTTAAATAGATTTGTTTTGGGTGATGGAAATATACATATACTAGTATTCAAGAATATGAGACTATTCATCCCAGAAAGTAGGAAAGACAAAATGAGAATGAAGGACAACATCTGACTTAAATTGCAAATTTATTTTGCCACTGTCTTAGCAATATCAGATGCATTTTTATTGGTTAGAAAAGCACAAAATAAATGTCTAAGTAATCATCTTTTTGGATCATCTCTGTTAATGCAGATAAAGGTACAATTTGTTTAAAGAAAAAATATATGATTATTTTTTAGTCACCTATAGGTTGATAGGTATATTTCAATATGATTTTAAAGTTTTGTGTTTTTTTATTTCTTACAGTAATCCTAAAACGGAGAGTCAGAGAGTAAATAAAAAAGTCAACAATGATGCCTCACTTAGAATTCATAATCTATCCATTTTGGTGAGACAGATAAAATTTTATTATCAGGTAAGTATTTTCTGTTTCATCTAGTACTTTAATAATAGCTTGCATATTCATATTTTTGTTATTTAGTATCAATCACCTAACATGTACTAAATTCTTATATTCCAGGTACTGTCTGTTTGTTGGAGATAGAACAGTAATAACATAGTTTATTTCTTGTGCAATATTAAGATACAAGCAAGCACTTCATAATTATCTGATTTTACAGATAACTATTATATTTTATGAATTTTTAAAACCAGTTCATAGTTTCCTGAGAACTTGCATAGTGCAATACTTTGTTGGCCTACTTGAATTATATTTTTGAAGAGTGTACTTTTTATAGTTCTTTTTAAACTTAAATTGGATGCATATTTTACAATTTAAATATGAGCATTCTCCAGGCTATCAATATACTTCTAAAAAATCGCTATAGCTGCATCACACAAATTTTAGTATGTTGAATATGTTGTGTTTTTAAAAATATTTATTCTATGCATTTTCTAATTTTTGTTATGACTTCTTATTTCTTTTATGAGTTATTTAGAAGTATGGTTTTAGATTTTGAAACATGATTTTTTCAAGCAATTTGTTGATTTTCAGTCAAGAATGTAGTTTGTATGATTTGTTAAAAATTACTTGGCTTGGCCTAGTATTTGTCAAGTTTTTATTAAAGTTCCATGCATGCTTGCAAAAGGTGTATATTCTCTAGTTGTTTAGGTGCAGATTCAGAGCAAGCTTGTTTGTTAATTGTATTGTTCAAACATTTTACAGTGTGATTAATTTTGTCTCTTGAGCAGTTATTGAGAAAGATGACTTGAAATCTCCCAGTATGATAATAGATTGGTTAAGTTTCCCTTTACACACTTTAAAGCTATGTTATTGGATGCAAATGAATTTAAAATTGTTTAATTATTAGGAGAATTATGCTATTTATCAGTAATTGTTTCTACATATTTTTCTTTCTTCTGGTTTAAAATTTTTTCACTTTACATCTGTTCTTTTAGAGGCCACTCTTAAAATTATACCTTTAATACATAGCATAGCAAAGCCTTAAATTAATCAGTATTTTTATTTTTTATGGAATAGTACTATGACATGAGAATGCTTTAACTTCAGTCATTCCCCCTGTGACTGTTAAACTGTTCTTGTGTTGTATTTTAGTTCTTTTTCTTTATAAAACCATAAATTAGATATTGAAACTACTGTCAAATAAATAAAATCAGTGTTCCTTAGATCAAACTACATGTTTTCCTTTTTTTCCCTTTCATGGTTTTCTGTCTCAGACCTGCCTTTGGGATCATTTTCTTACTGAAATATATCCTTTAAATGTTTGTTTAGAGAGGACTTGTTGATCGTAAAGTTTCTCAGTGTTTATTTGTCTGAAAGTACCTTTATTTCACTCTTGTTCTTGAAAGATAGTTTTGCTAGATATGCAGTTCTAGATTAACAATTACTTTTCCCTCAGTGTTCTGCAGATTTTATTCTTCTATGTCTGGATTCTTTATTGTCCTGGAGACTCAGCTATCAGTCTAATTTTTATTCTTAGGTTAAACTGTCCTTTTTCTCTCCTGGCTCCTAATTTTGTCTCTTCTGATATTGGCTCTTTCCTATTCTATCATATGATAGCCTTTAAATATTTCTATTATATGTATGCTAGGCTTTCTTACTCTAACCTCCATGTTTATTAAACTTCCTTTTTTATTTACTTATATATTTTAAATTTTGTTATATTAGTTTCAGGTGTATGAAACAACATAATGCTTAGACATTTACACCCCTTACAAAGTGATAACACCCCCAAGTCTACTACCCCTCTGACATCGTACACAGCTATTACAATACCATTGACTATATTCCCTATACATACATTGCATGTTTATACAATGGAGTATTATTTGGCCATAAAAAAGAATTAAATCTTACCATTTGCAGCAACATGGATGGACCTAGAGAATATTATGCTAAGTGAAATAAGTCAGACTGAGAAAGACAAATACCATATGATTTCACTTATATGTGGAATCTAAAGAACAGAATAAATGAGCAAACAAAACAAATAGACTCAGAGATACAGAGAAAAAAATTGATGGGGGGATGGTGGGTGGGGGAAAAGGTGAAGGGATTAGAAAATACAATTTGGTAGTCACAGTAGTCACGGGGATGTGAAATACAGTATGGGGAATATAATGATAATGTAAAAATTATGTAGGGTGCCAGGTGAGTACTGGGCTTATCAAGGGGATCACTTCATAGATTGTGTAGATGTTTAACCACTGTGCTGTACACCTGAAACTGAAGTTGAATAGTATTGAATGTCAACTATAATTAAAAATGTGTGTGTGTGTGTGTGTGTGTGTGTGTGAACTTCGTTTTATATTATCAATCTTGTACTGCATTCTGAGTATTTTCTTCTGGATTACCTTTTCAGTTTGCTAATTTGCCCTTCATATTTGTCAAATCTCTCTTTAACACATTGATTAATTCTTGACTCTCAATTATATCTTTCATTTCTAGAAGTTCTGTTTGATTCATTTGACATTTGTTTTTTTCATTTTCTTTACTAATCATTTTTTAAATTCTTTCTCTTTTTTTCTTTAGAAATTAAAAATATTTCTATTATAAATTTTATGTCCGAAAATTCCAAAATCTGAAAACATATCTCTGGGGATCTGAAAGGGGAAAAGAATACCCTTTGTATTCTGTTTACTATTTTTTATGATGATGGGTGGTGCCAGTGGTGTGTGTGTGTGTGTGTGCACGTGCGCGCGCGTGCACGCATATGTGTTTTAATTGTGAGCTCATTTTAGGGGGGAATTTTATCTGTGGGAATACTTTTGTGTCTGGGTCAAGGATGCATTGCTTCAGAGGGCATTTGTTTTCTTTTGTTTAACCAAACCAGAACCACTTTTAATTTATTTTAAGCAGCTTTATATTATTTTAGAAGCAATACCTATATACCATAGAAAACTAGAAAAAATGAGAAAATACAAGCAGTTCCAGTGCCTAATAGTGATTACCACTGTTAGCACCTGAATATGTACCTCTGGATCTCTCTTTCTGCATTTGTATGTATTACGTATTTATGTGTTTACATATATTTTTACTTTTATTTTTAAAATTTTTTTGAAGATTTTATTGGGGAATTGGGGGCGGGGAACAGTGTTGGGGAACTGGGGAAGGGGAACAGCCCAGTTTTCCTTCAATCTTAATTGTGGAGGGTGCAGCAAGCTCAGCTCCAAGTCCAGCCACACCACTCAGCTCAAGGTGCTGTGTTCAATTAGTTGCCAGTGGGTGTAGCCACCATCCCATGTGGGAGTCAAACCAGCAGCCTCGTTGTTAAGAGCGCACACTATTCATTGATTCATCAGGCGGTAGCTCAGCTCAAGGTGCTGAGCTCAGTGTTAGTTGCAGGCGGGCGTAGCCCACCATCTCGAACAGGCAACCTTGTTAGGGAACATGTGCTGTCACCAGCTGAGCCATCCTGCCACCTGTTGGCAGCTCAGCCGCATCTCAGCTCGGGCACAGCTCACTGGCCCATGTGGGAATCAAACTGGCAGCCCTGTTGCTCAGAGCTCGTGCTCTTAAGCTAACTCTTAACCAACTGAGCCACTCGGCCAGCCCTTTACATATGTTTTTAAACTGGGACTACATTATTGCAGATCCTTGGGGAAATAACCTTCCTCAGTCTCTACCAAAGGCTAAGAAAAACAGCTTTTTCCTTGCCTTCCTTTACAGGATTCATTTTTTTTTCTGTCTTTTAACTGAGAGTTATCTTTTTACTATCTTTTGAGCTCAGTCGTACATTTTTAAAGATTTTAAAAAAATTATTCAGCATATTGGATTTCTTCCTTTATAATATTTAGTATTCCTTGTTGCTAGAAATAAAAGTCTGCTAGAACTTTTATAAACATTTTTTAAGCCCAAATGTTAATAGTGCCAAGATGATATTATTATTAATGATTTGATTTTTCTTGACTGGCATTGCTTGTTTAGACACATCTGTAAATATTTTATTAACATTTGCTGGATGACCAGTTATACCCTTTTCTTTTTATTAATCTAAGTATGAATACCAGTGGACTAAGTTAGGGCTAGAAGTGATTGAATATCCTAACATTTTTGTCAATATTGTTTTAGATATTTAAAAAAAACATTACTGAGGGTTGATAGTTCTCCCCTTGTACGACTACCCTATGCCCTTTCTTTAGAACCAGTTTACCAGACCATCTCTACCCGTCCCCCATTGCCCCCTCTATGCTTTATATTCTTAGATAAAATGTTTCTAAGGCCCTTGTAAAGTATCTTCACAAATAGGTCAGCCATCTTATTTACATGATTAATTGACTTACTAAATTTATTTCTTATGCCCATGTATGTAACCAAGGTAGACCTAGTCTGCCTTAATATGACAGGTTTCAGGTTAACAAAGTCCAAATCAGTGCAGGTCTTGTCACCTGTTAAATTACCTATGTATTGGAAAAATCAGATGTTTTCCCTAAAGTCTTTCTAATAGAGCTTTAAAACAAATTTTTTTTTACGTCTTAGTAGATATACCACTCAGAAAAGGTATTTGAGGCAAAATATTTGAGCAGATTGTTATTGCTCTGACTCACAAGAGGAAAGTGAATTTGATACATTAAAATTCACAAGTAGTATATGTTTCTAGTTTTGTTGTTTTTTTTTTTTCTTTTAATAGGTCGGTAAGCATCCAGGTCATCTTGCAAAAATGATTCCTAGGGAGAAAGGAGAATTGACAGAATACCCTGAAATTATTGTTAGTGGGGGGAATTCAGTAATGATAGATAAATTTAAGTGTCAGTATTCTTTATTTTTTCATTTTAATGATTTAGAATATGTAAAATCAGTAAAAATTATAATGTCATTCAGATTACTCCCCTGTTCCCTGCTACCTTTTATTGACTGCCAAGGCATTGGGGCTACAGTGGTGAACAGGGCAGACTATGTGCTTATTCTCATGGAATTTATGGTTCTAGCAGAGGGATAATTGGAAAGTATATAAA